ACTATTCTTTACATTTTCCGATTAATTTAAAAGATTAGTATCTTTTTCTAATCTCTCTGAATCAAATGACCGAATTATATATTCTATTACTATATATTTACTATAAATTTCTACCTGAGAATTATTCTTATTAAGGCTTTCAAGCGAATTTAGTAAATCTTCAAAATCATTATCTAAATTATCTTTCGATAATGAACACGTAGGCATAGTATCTAGAATTTCAATATTCTGAATATCAAGTTCCAAGTTTTAAAGATTCTTTTGGCGATCTCTTTTTTTTCAAATGTTAAAAATCAGTACTTGATTTTTATTAAATGTTAGTTATTCATTGGCGTACGCAGCGGGGTGTACCCCTGCCCCCCCCCCCCCCCACAAGCCAAAAAATGCAGATGCCGGATTATATTTTTCAAAAATATTATTGTCAATATTAATTTATATTTGTTAATATTTATTCCTATCTCATATATATATATATTTAATTACATTTATTTATCACATTCATCTACTAAGTTATTTTTTCAATCAATTTCGATTTCAAGTTTTCCTTGGCGAATTAACCTATTATTTTCAAATTTTAGTGGCGTAATATTTATCTAAATTTCTAGTCAAATAATAATTATCTCTGAAACTCCTTGTCCAACAGGGAGAAAGAAATTGCAAGCTTGTCCAACGAGATCGCGTCTCCGCCACAGTAACAGCTATTATGGAGTTAGAAGAGCCGATTATTAATGTCATTACTGAAATATCACAATGACTTGAAAGAAATATTTCCTCAGAAGCAAGAAAATTATTAGATTCAATACTTATTCCAAAATTTTTTTCTCATTGGAATGTATTATTTAATTATTCAACTATTTTATGTAAAACTTTTCAAAAACAAAACATTTGACTTGATTAAGAAGATGAGAATAGCGGAGAGCATTTTATTAGAACTCAAGGAAATAGAGCTAATGTTGTTGAAGAATTTCATATTTTATATGTTATTGTTGAGTCAAAAGCAGAGCTATACGTGATTACTATTTGTCCCCCTCGACTTGCAGCAAGCAAGCTCATCGTCAAAACAATAATATAGAATCAGTAGAAGAGTATTATAAAACAAATGTCTCCTCTCCCAACCTTTTTCATATGGTGATAGAAAAAATATAAATATTTGTTAGATTTTTATCATGAAGATGTTAAAATATCTTATGATGCCTTATTAGCTGAATAACTATGATTAAAAGATTAACTATGGTTGATAAGTCCCAAAAAATGCTATGGATGCTTTCTATTTCAAACACATTTTAGATTATACTCCCTATTAAAATGGTTATATAGCAGCTCTTTAGTAAACTAAAGAGAGAACATTCATTTTTTTAAGAAGAATAACAGAGCTTTGCAGAGGTACCATTTGCAGGACACGGCCCATATTTTTTTTTAAAAAATTTTCCGGCCCGAATTTTTTTTTATTTAATTTTCAGGCCCGGCCCGGCTCGATTTTTTTTAAAATAAATTATATTTATTTTTGATTTTTATAGCTAATAATGGCGATTTCAAATATTTGGTTTTAAAATATACAGCTCGGCCTGGATATTTTTTCTAAAAAATTTCCAGGCCCAGCCCGGGTGTTTTTTTAAAAAAAAATTACGGGGCCGGCCTGGGTATATTTAAAAAAATTAAAATACGATCCGGCTCGGGGGCTGGGCCTGCAAGTCTGTGAAAAACATACCTATGAAATACAACATCTGAAAGTAGATTTAATGATTTGGATCTTTTTGGGCATTTAATGCCAAGCAAGGATTGATAATTGAAAAATTAGGTCAAAACATACAAAATACAATTATTCCTAAGAAACTTTTTGTGTATTAATTTATATTTCCAACATTTAAATTTTTTATACTTTATATTTTAAAGGTTCAAAAAATTCAAATTTTAATTTTGGGTCATTTAAGTGATTCATATCGTGGATATTCACTTTATATTTCATAATTCACATTTATTTTATAGTTTTTCAATGCCGGTTTATATATATGATTTTTTTAATTCACATTAGTTTAAAATTGTGTATTAGAAAAGTTATTAATCCTAATAAATTTATGCTTAGTATTTTTAATTAACAATATTATTTCTTAAAAAATTTATTATCCCCCCCCCCCCCCGACCAAATTCCTGCGTACGCGCCTGTAGTTATTAAAGGTAGAATTATATGATTATTCCCCTAAATTATTAGCAAGTATTATTATAGAAGCTAATTAATAACTAATATATATAAGAATAAACTTGTTAATTTAACCAAGAATAGTTTTGGTGACTTTAAGATGATATTTTACCTAATTAACTGGTAATTTGCCTAATCTCTATTAACTTGAGTATTTAAAGTAAAAACAATAAAGTTGATATTGATTGACATGTAGATAATATGAAAATATTTTAATTTTGAAAAGAAGTCATGAATTTAAAAATTACTTCCAAGGAGAATTAAAATTTCAAATATAGGTTAATTCAAAATCCATTATTTTTTAAAACCGTTTTGAACCGGCATAAAATATTTATAACATGGTTCGCTCTTTTTATATTTTCTTTATAACGGTTCATTCCGTTTTGGCGGTTCAGTTCGGGTTGAAACCTTGGTTAAATTATTAAAATACAATTGTTTGTGGATTAAAATATAGGTCAAAATTAAAATATTGATTTACAATATTATAACTATGCTATAACCTATAAAAATCATAAATCATTTATGTAAAATTTAGCTCATATTTTAAAAATCTGATTTTGCCGGAAATGGATTCGAGCATGGGTAAAATATACATCCTAAGCAGACAATCTTATAAGTAATAAAACATATTGCTGATTACACGCATAACATATTCCAAATAAATAAGATTTTATGACTCAAATCAACTGAATGGGCATTTTACACATCACTGGAATACATTTTGGGCAAAATCAAATGTTTAAAATTTTTTAAAAAAATGAGTTCAGCAAATTATTGCATTTTCAAATTTAAGAATTTTTTTTAAATTTGAAAAATAAATCATATTTCGGAAATGTATTCCAGCATGTTTAGAATACTTACGCTATAGATTGCAAATAAATTTTTAAGATGAAACATAGATTGAATAAAACAATAGCCACGTGACATGCTAACGGACATTGCCGATCGATAACTCGTTGACACATAATTTTTGAGTTTATTTTAGTCATTTGGCCGCCCTCTATGGAGAGGTGAAGCCATGCTGATGTCTAAATTTAATTTTAGCACTCCTAAATAATAAGTAGTGTTGTTTAACGGCTCGATTTAGCGGATTTTAAATTATGATTTTAGTCAAAAGAATATTAAGCAAGCCTCGAGATTTTCGTTAATAGATCAAACCGTTCTGCCATCTATGAATAAAATCGACAGGATTTCTAATATTTTTTGGCTAAAACATTGGGTTGGACGTTTTTAAAAATCGAGCCATTAGCAACCACTAATAATGAGTTATTAAACCAAATATCTTTTTTTTTAATAGGAAAGGAAGCGTTATCGTTTCTTTCACTCTTTTCACTCATCCGGACATAATATATATTGATGAAATCAGAGCGAAAGATTTTGGAAGAATTCTCATAGAGGAATCGATGAAAAAAGTTTCTCCAATATTTTTCGCATCAAAAATTGATCCATCCAGTATATATATCGAAGGTAAAACGAAATTTAATTTTTAGAAAAAAAACAATGAATTTCTATCTATTATTTATTTATAAGCCTTTTGTTATAAAAACGATTTCATATGTGATAATGGATTAAAATGCATCATTCAAAGTCGTTTATGCGATAAAGTTTTTGACTGCCAAGATGAGTCCGATGAAACTACTTGCGGTATGATTTATGAAATTATGTATATCCTTCATATAATATTAGGGGATCTGCTTTATATAAATTTATAATAGTAAGTAACTAACAATCAATATTAATTAGCATTGTTTTATTAGAGTAAATATTTTACTTGTCATCTTGGTAAAGTCGGATGAGATGCGGCAATTTAAAAATAATGGCCGCACCGATATTAAAAAAGTAACATATTGAGCGGTAAGGATATACTTCTTCCAACAAATTTTAAAATTGTTACTAAATATTAATGGGTAGATATTTTAACCTGCTTTTTTTAGCAGCCTCTTATTTTAGCTAATTTTTAAAAATAACCGCAATCGAAGTTAATCGGTTTTAAATTTTAAACTAAGGACCGAAATAAAACTGAACCGTTATATTTAACGGTTTTAATATCCTTTCTGTCTTCTGAGTTATTATAAGGTTTATATATTTATAAATTTCGAGAATAAAGAGTATATATTAAACTTAAATTTATAATCTTTTGACTTTCATTTAGTATGACTTCAATTATGGAAAATGAATCAACCTGAAACCAATTATTATTCCCTCAAATATTTTAGTCTTTTTTTAAAATAAATTTGATAACAACTCCTAATTTTTAAAGTAGTACTAACTTATTAATTCATAAGGATAAACTATAAATTTAATACAACTTTTTTTTAGATTGCCTCGAAGATGAATTAAAATGCAAAAACGGGATATGCAAGGCCAAAACTTTATGGTGCAATGGATTCGATGATTGCATGGACAACTCGGATGAAAACATAATTTGCAAATAAAAAAAGAGCAGATGAATCAATTTTTTATAATATAAATTATATTATATACATATATAAAATTAACAACTAAAGATTAAAATTTTGATGTCAAAATTATGAATAATATTCATAATACGATTTACGCTTTCACAAATTGTATACAAAGAAAGCAACAATGATGAACCAGCATGAAATAACCAATTTCTCTATATAATAACTTCATAGATATTTAGGGCATTTATTTAATGCAGTTTTACAAAAATAGCCATTAAAAAATATTAGAAGTACTATATAAATTCTATAATAAATAATTCAATTTAAAATGTAAATCAAACATGATAAATAAATTAATTTTAAAGAGATAATATATTATATATTACTATATACCGTAGATATTAAAAATTTGAAAATTCTTAATTTAAATATAAATTAAATCTCAAGTGGATCTGGATACATATAAACATGTCTTTTTAAGCCATAGCCTATTTTTATACAATAATAGACAAACCTACTATTTAATTTTGATAAAAACGATTTAATTTGCATAAAAATTAAACTAGGATAAATAAATAAATACGTATAGGTAATTAATTTTATGTTATGTCTTCGTAATATTAGGCTGTTTCAACACTTCGTAAACTCCACAAATTTTATTTGCGGGAACTGCAATGTCTAATAGTTTTTTTAAAAAAAAAGGATATTATATTGATATTAAAGATCGGATTTGTAAAATAGTTAAACTAGTATTTGGGTTGACATATCGATTAAAATATCGTGATTTTGGACGACAATTTTTAAAATAGATGAAACGTGGCATGAAGGTTAAATATATTGTATATTTGATACCAACATTTTAATGCTCTAGCTTAGATATAACTTGAGTTATGGACCTTCAAAGTTCGATGAGAGTTTTTTCCTCTTTTAACGAATAACAAATTACCCAAAATATTTTTGGTAACGAATTATAAATCATTTTGTAGCCCTCAAAATTCTCCATCAGAAAATACAAAAAATTATTTTGAGAAGGGCAATATAAACGATGAAACTCACTAAATATGTTTATCACTAATATACTCAAATATTTAAGTAAAAATAATGAGAAAATAAGAATTTAAATTTTATTTAATTTTTTATAATTTTAAGGATGAAAAAATCAATAATAAATGTTTGAAACGAGGAAACTCATCATATTTTTATTAGTTTTTAATAAGCATAGGAATAAATAAATAAATTATAGAGGGTGTTATTTTAAAGAAATAATCATTAATATTTCTAAAAAATTATTATATACACTAGAATTTGTTAAAAATACGTTTTATTTTACACCAATAAAAAGGAAAAAGTGTAATTATTTTTAACTATAATTGATTTTTTATTCCCTAAATAATAAAAACTAAATTAATTTAAATTCTTATTTTCTCCGTTATTATTTTTACTTAAATATTTATAGGTAATAAACATATTTAATGAGTTTCATCGTTTCAAACGCCCTTTATAATATATTTTTTTATTTCTAAAATTATAAAAAACTAAATAAAATTTAAATTCTTAATTTTCCATTAATATTTTATTTAAATATGTAAATATACTGACAATAAACATATTTCATGAGTTTTATCATTTTAAATGGGGCATCTTTCAAAATAATTTTTTGTTTTATGGGAAATATGACATTGAAGATTGTTTTTAAATAATTTTTGCATTTTTTTAAGGGAATTTAAGGGCTACTATAAACATATAATTTGTTACTCAGACCAAAATTTCTTTGATTATTATGAGATTAGTTAAAAGAGGAAAAGGCACTCATCGAACTTTGAAGGCCCATAACTCGGGATATACTGCATTAATTTGGATTTATATAAAATATACAATCTATTTAACCTTTATCAAGTTTTAAAATGGTCGTCAGAATCCCTGGTCGATTTGTCAAGGAATTACCCATTTATGATTTAAGTAAATTCGCTATTACCTATTTGTTTTGGGTAAGGTAAGTTTAGATCTTGCATTATTTTTATGAATTGAGATTTAAATTTAGTCAATCTTGGGTTATATTTTTTCTCCTCTCCAACAGATGTAGCCATTATACCTTTTTTTGGTTTTGTTATAAAATGAATATATCTAGTTATCAGATTAAGTAAATAATGATTAGAATCAAAAGAAATTAGGCAAACCTTTATAGTCGTGAGCAGGAAAGAGTAGATAATCAGGCGGAAGGGTAAATATAACATCATAAATAGAATCGTACAACATTTCAGGACTTCCTGTATATGTGTATATATATAATTGAACAATGGTGAGCAATGCTATATCAAATCAGAGATTGTATTGGTTTTTAAAACTAATATACCGCTCAGTGGCAATATCAATAGCATTATTCAAAAATTAATTAATAGTTATCTTCTATTTTTAGATTTATTTATCAAATTTTTGGCTTTATTCTAGATAATTCTAAAAAATATCTCCTTTTAATTTACCAAGTGTTATATTTTTGTTGAAATCAATTTTTTCCCCAAAAAATACTGGTGTAACAATTATTATTTTAGAAAGATTGATTAAAATAGGGATCACTGTTTACATTTATTATATACGCTTAGCATCTGTGATATCAATACTTTAGCATTTATGGAAATACATTCATATCAATTATTTATTTATGGTAACGTATAAATCAAATATATAGAAAATCAAAACTTAAATAAAATCTAAATACGTTTCTAATGAACATGGTGATGTTTATTTTAAAAATAACCAAGAGTTTTAATTATAATAATAAAATAATGATTTGAATTCTCTCCTAAGTTGTATGGATATTATATAAAACTAATATTCCAATATAAACGAAAAGCAATATAATATAATATAGTGAAAATATTTTTTAAACCAATATAACAAGTTTAAAATGAATACCAAATTGTATCGGTATTATAAACTAGCCATAAATGATGAATTATTTTAATATTAATAATAAAAAAAATTAAATCGAAACCTTCCTGAAAATCGGTCCTTCCACAACCTCTTATTAATAAGGTGTCACCAGTAAAAGCCATTCTATGCTTGTGCGAGATATATGTCATGCATCCTAAAAATGTTTGTATCAATATAAAAATATCATGATAATAATATAAAATATACAATAACTAACCCAAAATCTTAAAAAGTATTTAATCATAAAACAAGATAATTTATAGCTACTTTATCAAATTATTATATTAAGTAATTAGATTTCATATCTGAAAATAAAATTACAATACTCAGCAGGTAAAAAAATTTGTCTTAGTAAATATAAACACCTACAATTTATATTTCGAATTAAATTGTTAAAAATTGGAGATATGAAAAATATTTCAATATGCTAAAAATGATCAAAACCTATATTATAGTATTTTTGATCAGAAAAAAATATTATGTTTTTTCCCTAAACAATTTTTTTATATTAAAATCAGAGACCTGCAGAGGTACCATTTGCACCGCCCGGGTTTAAATTTTTAAAAAAAATTTTACGGCCCGGCCAGGATTTAAAAATTTAAGGAACGGCCCGGATATTTTTTTTAAAAAAAATTTCAGGTAGGCTCGGAATTTTTTAAAATTATATTCGACCTGGTATATACAAAAATTCGCCTATGAGGTATTTTACCATATTTTTCAGCGAGTATTATCGCTTATTATTTAAAAAATACATGTAAAAAGCTAATATTTTGAGAATATTATATTGAATTTATAAAAATTATAAAACTGTAATTTATAAAAATGGATATTTTGAGCATATATTATATTTTATATTGCATTTATAAAAATAAAACTAATATTCATAAAAATGGTAATAATATTTTGAGCATATACTATATTTTATATTGCATTTAAAAAAAATAAAACTAATATTTAATTTATAAAAATGGAAAATATTTTAATTGCACAATATTAATATAATTTATTTTATAATATAAATTTTTAACAAAAGAAGATAATTGTATTATATAATATTGTAAAAAAAATAATGAAAAATGTTGGATTAAAAACTTTCATGACTCAAGGTAAATATAATAAATGCAATAAATATTTGACAGTTTGCAAAGTAAAAAACCAGCATGATTGACGAAACCCTATACTCAAGAAAGATATTAAAAATTCACAAATTATCATGAAGAAAGAGAAGCATATCTACCTTTTCAGGTTGAAGATTACTTCTTCTTTCTTCAAGAATTCTCCCAGTAGTTGAAAAATTCCGCTCACAGCTTGCACTTGAAGCAGGAATTGCCAATACCCGTTTTGCCAATTTTGCTAAAATTGGAAATTCGCTTTGATGAGCCGCCCACCACTCTAACAAATTATCCACCTTAAATGTTTCATCTATTTTTTTATTTAGGTAATTATAATATTCATCATCGGGTATTGACATATTACCAGAATTACCATCACCCCATTTGTCATAAAACGATTCAGTTTGTTTAACAACAGTCGTAATTTGACTGGTTGATGGTATTTCATTTACTTCCTGAGCCTCTTGTAATTTAATATAATCTTTTATATAGTTTTCCGTCATCTTGCGATCTGTCCCTGACAACATACGTAATTGCTTGAATTTGGGACAGAGAAAAAGAGAAATAAAATGATACTTGTGTAAAACAAATTTTTCAATTAAAAAATGCTTTATATTAAGTAAAATCAATTTTATTTCTCCTTTTTCGCTTTGAAAGGTATTACAAACTTCAAGAAGTGATATTCCTTTATTTGATTGTTTTGGTAAAATATATTTTAAAAATTTAGATATGAATTATAAAAAAATATATTAATAATACTTGAATATTGGGGCTTATTTAAGATATTCCTTTATTTGATTGTTTTGGTAAAATATGTTGTAAAAATTTAGATATGAATTATAAAAAAATATATTAATACTTTGAATAAATTTGAAGGAAATTAATAATTAGATCGATCTGTGGGTGTTAGGTAGTGTTAACCATCACCCAATATTATATTAATCATAACTATAATATAATATAATCTTATAACCATTAACTCATAATGTAAAAATTTTTATAAAAAATATAAAGGCCCGGCCCGGGTTTAACAATCTTAGGCCCGGCCCGGATATATTTTAAAAAAAATTTTTTAGGACCGGCCCAGCCCGGATATGTTAAAAAAAATTTTTTTTAGGCCCGGGCCTGCAGGTCTCTGATTAAAATTAACATCCTCGATCAGGTAACTTAGGAAAGAGGGTTGGCAGTGTCAAACCCTTTCATATAATAGGTTCTGTAATCAATGGTATACACACTATTTATGTAAATTGATTTTGAAATAAAATATTATCCATTTATGATAATATTGTATAACTATTTATATAAATTTTTTTACAATTTAATATGTGTGATCATGGTTATCTAATTTTATAGTTAATTTTTAAAAAATGAAAGACTATCAATATTGAAATTCTAAAATACATAGTTAACAACTTTCGAATATTTGTTTTTTTTTTCAATTTTATTAATAACATAACTTTTCCTCTACAAATTTTGAGGACAGAAAGTAAATAGTTTTATTGATCAAAGGTAAAAGAAATTATTTATATGTAAATGTATTGTTACCCTTTATAGTGTTAAAAATTTTAGTTTTAAGGTACACATGAACCCAGATACATATAATACACAATAAATGGAATATGAACTTGGTTTATTCATTTATATTTTTTATATTAAATGTATTTTTTGCTATCTATCTAAAATTAGATATTTCCATACTCAAAATGTATTGTATTCATGAAGAATCGTAAGATCAATAGATGCTGATTCCATAGGTAAATTATAAAAGATATTTTTTAATATATATCTAAATGATTCAGATAATCATCAGCAACCAAATATGACTTAGGAAATTATCGAAAAATCACATGAAAATTGACTTCAAACAATAGGTTTATGACAATTCTTATTGGAAAAAAACTCAACAAAACACAGAAAAGATTATGTACCCATTTGAAAGAAATTCCCATAAAAGAATCACTATATGTCAATGAACAAGTAATCCCCTATAAAGGAACCAGTAAAATCAAACAATACAACCAGCAAAAATGAAATAAATGCGGAAAAAGCATTCCTTTGTATAAAAATATAAATTGGTAAAACAGAAAAATTTTATGAATTTCCTGATATTAGTGCTGGAAGAAAGGCAGTCTTTTTAATGTACCACTTCATTCTATAAATTATGCTTGATAATTGATTCTGTAGGATAGAACTTCAAGTCTTATTTGTCCAATAGGGAATATATTGTATTGTAAGAGCAAGGGCTAATCAAATATATAATTACCAGTTTCTGGCAGAAAAATAATTCAAAAAAATGAGATATAGATATTTTATTCAGTAAATGGTGTAAAATTATGTATCACTAAATGGCATAATAATAGGCCTGTAATTACCTTAAGCACATATATATAGGTGATATCCTGTAGAAGATTGTGAGTGGTTATAGAAAGGAACAACAAAAAATTAAAATTCCATGTCCAGCAGTGATAAGAGTTTATAATAAAAATATGGGAGATGTAGATTTAAAGGATTCACATAAAATACAAATATATCACCAAATAGTATTTCATATACTTAATATGATGCTTAAAATTTCATCATTGTATAGGCAAGATTATGTTCCAAAATTCAATAAAAGAACAAATGCAACATTTACTTTTAAAATTCCAATAATAGAGGTAATCTGCAAGTGCAATAAAAATTTGAACCCTTGCACAAAAAATGAGTGTCAATTAAACCAAATATAGAGAATAATTTTGCAGCATGTCTTATTCAGTAGAATGAAATAAGACATGATTTAATAATTCATTCCAAAAATAGTAAAAAGGTAAGAATCCCAGATGTAAATTGGTTACTAAAGTGATTTTACCAAATTTGTGTATGGTTGTTTTACTTCTAAACAAAAATAATACATTTTTTCATTTATTAATTTATTGCATAATAAAAAGTTAAGAGCTGTCTAAATAAAATACTAAATCTATTAGATTCACAAAAATTAACAATATATTCATATGCTATGATTACAAATGCATGATTAAGATATAACAATTGATTTATAAAAGGTTATATAAAGGAGAAATATAAGTCTTAATTGACATTGGGGAAAAATTAGATATTAAAAAACCTTAACGAGCCAGGCCTGATATTTCAAAAATTTTTATAGGCTGGGCCAAGCTAAGCTATTTTTTGTTAAAAACCTGGCCAGGCATATAGACTTCTAATGATATAGGAAATAAGGATGTGCCTTATACTGGTAAATATATATTTAACTAAAGTATTTATTTTAATAATAATATTATTGGGGAGAAAATATGTGTTAAAAAAATTAAACACTAATAAATTGATATCTAAAAAAAATTGAGAATTATATTATAATGATAAAATATTTGTTAAATATTGGAGAAATTAATAACAGCCTAAAAAGATGTGCATTATCTGTACTAATTAATATCATAAAAGTTTTTGTAAAACATGTAAAAAGTTTTAACAAAAATAAAATGATTTAAAACCATTCGTGTGTCCAGGAGTTGATCTAGCAAGTAATATTTCATTTCCAAATAATATTTTATCATGATCTTTCACATGAATGTCAGCTTGAGCTCCACTAGCCAAAGATATAACTGATTTACAAGTCTTTATTAAACTTTTAATTTTTTTAGTTCCAGTAATATGGTCAGCATGCATATGTGTGTTAACTTAGTTAAATAAAAATTAAATATCACTATAAAAATAATAAAAAATATTCCAAATAATCAAAAAGAAATAAAATATGATTAGTATGTGTATATTATTATCTTGAAATTAAACATAAAGGTGTTATGAAGATATATACAAGACTATAATTTCTAAGTTTCATAAATTCAAACCTCCATATTTCAGTTTTAATCCCAATTCTTTGATTAAATTGACATCACGATCAACTGTTTCAAGAACTGGGTCTATAATTATGCATTCCTTGGATTCTAAATCTCCAAGAATATATGTGTAGGTGGACGATGTATTTTCAAATAACTTTTGGTTTCAATATATATAAGAATAAAATTTATTTAAAGGTACTTGTCTAAATAGAAAATTAGATTGATAAAACCTTGATTGTGAAAATTTAGAAATAATGAAAAAAAATAAAGAAGCCTTTGAGGGCAACATACTTACCAAGGTAAAATGTTTATTTAATTTAGGACAAAGAACCAGAAAACAAATTGTTTTATAATTTTTATATATGTTATTAGCTTATTTTGATTTTAAGATGTATAATTTGATTAATATTATATGTAAAAAAATGATAAATGATGCTGCACAAAACTTATTTTCATTAAAATAACATAGATTTTATATATTTATTAACCACGTTATGTAAAAATATTAGTAACGTACCAAGAAAATAGTCTTTGCTTTTATACAACTTATCTTGTTGTTGCAAGAGCTTTTTTGTTTATGAAGCATCACTGGTAGTGTTGTTAAAAAGCCAACGGCTCGATTAAGATTATAATCTATTTACATTATAAGCCTAAAGATTTTGCACATAACTGGCAAATGCTTGGACATCTATTTGCCAAATCTAGATGCTTAGATAATATTATTTTAGCTAAATCTTAATCTTAATCAGGCTGTTTTAAATAATCGACTCAAATCGGACTTTTTAACAAAATTAATCCCTGGGACGGAAACCTTCATGGGCCTTAAATTTTTGGCCAAATCCGGCCCAAGGCCGGCAGTAAAAAAGCTTTAGGCCCAGGTCCGACAAGGCTCATGTCTAACATTTAAAAAACTCAAGCTCGGCTCAAACCCATAATAAACAAATAAATTCCCAAGTCCGACTCAAACCCATATCCAAAAATTTTATTTATTATATATAAAAATAAATAATATTTAAGTATATTTATGCAATCATTTTGTTTACATTATTAAAGTTAGCAATTGTTTAAAATGAATTTAAGTTTAATATTTTTAGGCTCAAAGCCCATTAAAAACAATTCAAAAACAAGGCCCCAACCTTGACCCGCTAGAAAATATGATCTGCGGGCCGGTCCGGCTCAAGAAGGTACTCTGCTCTGGGCGATAAACAAAAATATATACTAGTAGTTATGGAAGAAAATAAGATGACCTTGAAAATATTTTGCAACTGTATAATAATAGAACTTAAAAATTGAGGGAATTATATTGTGGCAACAGAGCCATCGCACCTAATAACAGAACATTATGAATAAATATATAATCTTTTTTATGATTTTTTATAATATACATAAATAAATATGACAATTGAGTAAAGGAACAATAACACATCAAAGCTATCTCAAAATTTTTAACTTTAAAAGGTTAATAATATTTATATAAAGTGAAATCTCGAAAATAATAATTCTCATAAATTCTTTGAATGAAATGTAATTAATATTTATTACTCTTTAAATATTTTTTGGAAGCGGCACGCTTAGCCTACTCCTACCCTTTTAAAATAAAAGAATTAATTTCCGCTTATGTAGACACTTGAATTTCTATTAAATACACATATTTTATGATATAATAATTCATCTTATAAAAAATTAAGTAAAAAAAAAGATCATAAAGTTTTAATAAAAATCATCACGTTATATTTTCTAAGGTTGGTTTGATCGGTTGAAGTATGATAATTTAATAATTTAAAAATAGATACTATGTATAAGGCACATAATTTATTTACTGGATATATTTTTAAAAAAAAAAACTTCAAGAAAAATATCATTTCTACGATAATTTGTGTCAATTCAGTTTTATTCACTTTAAAATATAATCTTAAAGATTAAATAAATATATATATCTAAAACATTTTGTTATAGAAATTTTAGTTATCTAGAAATATTAATAAGCTTGCTCCCTCCGAACCTGATTCTTCTACTGGTATAAATTGTAGAGATTTCCAATAATATTAAATTTCCATTAAGGATATAAGTAAGATATTTATATTACATTTTATATAATATTACACAGCGAATAATAATAAAAAGTAATCTAAAAGCAAACCTATTTGCGTTTTTTTAAATGGTTGCTAACGCCAAACTCTAATTTTACCAATTTGCACGAGGTCATTTGAAATGCATTATTTGCGCTTGAAACGCAGCGTTTGAAACACAGCGTTTGAAACGCTCAAATGTGCGCACTATTATAATCAATGATCATTAAATTCTGTCATCAAATCTTACTACATATTTTATATTTCAAAAATTAACTATTTAGGATGTGCACTACATCGTCATAATATTTGTTTTTTATATCTGAATATACAATTTAGTCGGAAAAGTTGCTAGGACAGTCTTTTATTTGTTTTCGATAAGTTTAAAAGGCGCTTAAATAATTTTTTACATATCATTTGTCTAAAATAAAATCAAATTCTATTCATTCAGCTATTTGGATTTCTAAAAAGAAAATAGACAAGCTAAGATGCAGTAGCTATTATTTATAATCCAAATAATACAATCGTTTCTTTCACAGGATTCTTTTTTTTAAATGTATAATTTAATCAGGATCATCCTCTAACGAAAAACATTTAATGTTTGAAGAGAGATTTTTTTTTATTTAAGGGTATATTATTGTCATTCCTTGACTCACTTTTACAGATATTATATATTTTTAAGCAAAAAATGGTATAACTATAAACTCTTTTCTCTAAATTTTCTAATTCATTCCTTCAAATCAGAATAATTATATTTTACACCCCATAAAAATTATTGCAGTAAAGTAACGTAAATAGTAATTCCGTTATTAACGGCGTTATCTTTTTTGAAGAAAGGAACGACATCTGCTACCTTCTTTTAGAGATAGCAAGTAACGCGTTTTTTTTGAGTAACGGTAACGCAAAACGTTACTTGTTAATTTAAATTTTTTCATAAAAAATATGAAAAACATATTTTATTTTATTGTATTATAAAATTATTTTTATTTATTTTTAAAATTTTATAAATAATTTAAGGCGAGTTTTTAAGTTTTATCAACCACCAATTTCTTCATTTTTATTTAAAATTTTTGTTGTTAAATTTTCAATCAAGATTAATAGTTTAATTGGTACATATTTCTTTAGATGAATATTATTTAACCTCCCCTGGCCCCAATATGAAACTTTTTTAAGGGTACAAAGTCTACACTTCCTAAAAATGTGTCCCAACTCAAATAAATCCTAAATTGTGGGATAAACATGGATAGTCTCGAAACTGTGCAGCCATTTTTAAGGAAAGTATGGGAAGATATCTAATTAAACGGTTATAACAAGATGTAACTCTTTTTATGACTCAGTTGTATTAACAGTCTTATAAAGGAGAATAGCCAATTTGACAAATCTTATGATAAATCCGAATTACAGAGATTTTCAGATAATGACAAGTTGTTCTTAGATATATTGCATGGTCAGTGTTAATTAAAAAATATATTATATATTATATATATGATTTTATATGTTATATAACCTGTTGGAACAGCTATTTTATACATTTGGGATAATCCCACGGTAACTATTATAATATTGAAACTTGAAAAAAATGCTTTAAATAATTTCGAGTTTATGCCACTTATTAATGCAATCATGCAAACCCGCTATTTAGCTTGAATTGGCCCTTGATAAAATTATAGGAAGGTAGAAAGATTGAACTCATTTTCAGTTTGGAAAAATATCTTGACAAAAAAAAGGCAGACTTTGATTCCTTAAAAAAACAACCCCCATACTAGATTATTTTCTTTTAAAACTCTTTTGATGAGGATCGGAATGAAGATCCTTTTGAAGATGATCTATGCTTTTTTCAAGATAAGGATAATTATATAATTTTTAATAAATTTCCCATTAAAATTTTTACTAATTAAATATAAACAGGATTGGCACGTCGGTCAATTAACTGGTCTTCAGTTAATTGAACTCTCCATTGACCAGAAGAGTATTTAACCTGGTCAAATACGGTCAAATATTCTAAAAAATCGGAAGGAAAAAAAATTGGAAATATGTTTGAAAAAATAAAAAATGATATTGCTTATTTATTGGGTCCCCAATACCAAGGGGGGAATCTTACTAGTAGTAAGCTAATTATGCATGTGATATCTATAATAACTAGGCATTTTACAAGGTGGTAATCAAATATTTCAAGTGATATCTTAAATTTCAGAAGTAAAAGTGGCATGTTAATAGCAATTTATGTGGAAAGCAATAACTTCCATAAGAAACAATCAGATTCCGGCCTCAGTAGAATGGGCTTTGCTCGCCATGCCTATTAATAGAAGTGGCATTTTATTAACAATTCATATATCTACTTTTTTTCAGAAAGAAATTGGTCGATTTGATTTAATATTCTTTCTAAAACATAAATCTGTTAAAGATCTCGACAACAGAAAAATTGATTAAAAAAATAAAATTATAATATTGAATATGCATCAGAACAAGCCTATTATGCCTTGGAAAGCGAAACATTGAATGACAGTGAATTTAAAAAATATTATAAAGTTAATATTTATATTCATTTTACTATTATATATAAAATAAAGTTAATATTCTATTAAAAAACATTTATTTGAATTAGACCATATTTCACAACCCAATATATTACAACCCCCCCCCCCCCCATTCTATGCACCAGTTGAAAGTGAGTTTAGGATGGGCTGCCTTTTGTTTATCTTTGAAAATCAATTGTTTTATAAAAACATCTTATCTTAAAATATATTATTTTTCTATATTATATATTGGAAAATTTTGTATATAATATTAAATTTTTCAAGTAACTAGTAACGCGTTACTTTCTAAATAGCCAGTAACGCGTTCCTTTTTTCAAAATTGTAAGAAGTAAAGTGTTCCTTTTTTTGATGTAACTTTTACATAAAAACTAAAATAATTTGAATCTAACCTATAATCTAAGATCGCATCTCGTCCAAATATAAATCTATAACGAATTCCTTAGAAATAATTTTCCATATGCCAAGCAAAATATAGCATAATTTATAGAATTTATAAAAATAAATAAACAATTTAAAAAGTACAAAAAGTTTATCAATCAAAAATATAATTAATTATACTTGAAAAATAAAAATCTAAAAATCATGCCACAATAATTATCGACAAAATAATTAATAGACGATCAATCGATGCCGCAGTATAATGATTCACGGTTAAATTGTTGTCATGATAGTTTACTTACATTTTAAATTGCCTATAATTTATAATATTT